ATATTATGGGTGACAGAAATGGCGAATGCTAGTTTGTATGAGTAGAACTTGATGATCTTTTCAGTCTGTGGTGGAAACTTAAATTATATCCCCTAGGGTTTTTTTTTTTAAGATTTATTTATGTATGCATACAGAACTGGGGTACAGGCCAGAGGTGCAGGGGCAGTGAGAGGATTCACCAGAGACAGAGTGGGGAGCAGAACAGGCTGACTGAGGAAGTACACTGCTGAGGGGAGCAGCGGGCGGGTCAGGAGAGGTCTGCTGCGCCATGTGGGTCACTTCCAGGGTAGGGATCAAAATCATGCTGAAGTGGCTTTAGCTTCTTAGGCTGTGGTTTAATCTGCTGAGCAACCAGGGAGGGCCTAGTTTTGTTTTCTTAAAAAACAATAGTGGTAAAGACTGTCAGCAAACAATATACAGGAATACATTTATAATTATATATAACTGTATGCAGTTAAAGAGACTACAATCTAATGATTTTTGTTTTAGAAACCCATTAAGTAAAACTTGAAATATAATTTTATCACTGTCCTTCATTTCTATAATTGAAAGAAAACTTCCTCTTTAAGTACCTAGCAATTATTCTAAGATTCAGTTTAATTCTAATTTCACTTATATCTATTTTATTTAGAAGATAGTTCTGCTTATATGATTTGTGAAGAAGCTAATGCATTTCTGTCTTGGAAAATGTATGTATTCCTAATTCCTTATTAATGGGAAAGCAGAGGATATTTTTACTGTCAGCTTTCATCAGTTAGACCTCTCTGAAGACCTTACTGAGTTCTGCTCTCAAGGGAATTTTGCTACTAGATACGTGCAACATAATCTAGGTTCTCATAGAGAGGATCATAAATTAAAAACAAAACAGAATGGGCGAATAAATAGATTTGTTTTTTTTAAGAAATCGGCAGAACGTTAATCTTTGCTCTTTCATTTTCTTTTAGCAGTGTTTTCAGGTAGGAGGAAGAAATTCTAATTACATAGTACATGACACCATCTTAGATATCATAAGTAATGAATTTTCTGAATGGGTTTTAATTGTAACTATAAATGTATGAAGAGGGCTAAAGAGTAAATCTTCCAGCCTGTGTGTGTTTAGTTAACAATATTAGTGACTTTAATGGGTTTTACTGGAAAATGGAAGATCGAAGGCATTTAACAATAAGCCAGCCAGTTTTATTAGCTGTATACTCATTCACTAAATTATTTTGATGTAATACATTTCCACATGTCGTGCAGAGGGCTGTAGTGGATCTTCATTTATAGAACACCTGCCTCCCTAAAAACTGGAGTTTCTTAAGCTTCAGCCTCAGTCTACCCTCTGTATTCTTTTCCTGGATGATCTCATTTATTTTTATGGTTTAAAATTTCAATTTCTGTACTTCTCTACTGTTTTTCTTTTACCTGAGTCTCTTTTCTGGCTCTTTAGGCTTATTTCATTTATTTTTCAAGGAAATCTTAGACATATCAAGCGAATTGTGTAGAACCTGCAACTTCGAGCGTTTGCCCTTCTTCACATCTGCCCCACCCCCAACTCAGATGTTACCAAGAGCTCTCCTTTCCACCTTGAGACCATATCTCAAGTTTCTCACTTTTCTCTATCACTGTTGCCATCGCAGTAAATCAAGTCATTATCTTTGGTCTGGACTGGTTTAGTCTCCTAACCAGTTTCTCTACATCTAAGCCACTTAGACATAGAAATAAAAGCCAAGGTATAATGCTAAGTATGTACCCACAATTACTTTGATGCACCTCGCTTAATTAAAGTACTTTTATTTGTGTCTTTCTTTGCTTTACCAAATCCAATAAATATTTTCCCTGGGTTTTCCTGGATAATAGCAGTATTCATTGGTAATTCTTGTAAGCGACAAAAAGTCCTCTTACATAATTTGTATTAACTTATCACTTAATATATTCCTTTAGAAGATTACATAGATTCTCTATTAGAATTATCAATTTCTTTAATAATTTAAAAATTTTTAAAGCTTTTAACTTAAATTTTTAAAATGATTTGTGTTGTATGAATATATCCTTTGTATTTGATTACTAGAAGTATGGAAATGTAACTTTTTCTCAAACATTTGTAAAACCATGAGATACAGACAGCACTATTTAAAGATACATGTATATACAGATACACACACCAAAAAACACACATTATCTATCAGAATGTTTTACCAAGTGATTAGAATTAGGTAGTTAACGTTTAAAATAGTTTTGGTATATGATTGACAAGATGAGGCTGCATTTTGGTATCTTGCTATTGTAGTTTCATACTGCTAAGGTATTTCCCCTTCTGTTTGGTATGACATGATAGGCTACCTTTTATTCTCCAGACTATCTTTCTGACTCCCTGGAGGAAGAAAATAGGACCAAGTAGTCAAGTCTCATTACATAATGACAGTGATAGAAAGCACATGGATAATTAAATCTGTTGTCAAATGCAGTCTATAATACTACTTTGGGGTCCTCCCCGGTGGCGCAGTGGGTTAAAGCACAGCACTAAGAAGCTAAAGCCACTTCAGCATGAGTTCAACTCCCGGCCCAAAGGTGTTCCACATGGCGCGGCAGACTCCTCCTGACCCGCCCGCTGCTCCCCTCAGCAGTGTGACCTCATCAGTCGGCCTGTTCTGCTCCCCACTCTGTCTCTGGTGAATCCTCTCACCACCCTGCACCTCTGGCCTGCACCCCAGTTGTGTGTGCATAAATAAATAAATAAATCTTTAAAAAAACAAACGAACAAAAAAAACAACTACCTTACTCAGAATATTTTAACCTCTTTCTCCAGAAAACCTTTTAGAATTCTAAGAGCTGAAATGGTGGGTAGGAATTTCAGTTTATGTTCTCCTCCTTTTCCCTTAGCAAAGATATTAAACAGTGCGTTGAGTCAAAAGGTGGGGAGTGACGTAGAGCTGCACAATTCAAAAAAAGTGCCCCTGGCATTGAACTCTTTGAACTAACTGAACTCTTACTCCATGTGCTTCTAAACTCCCTTTTGGGTGTGGACAATCAGTTATTTGTGTCCAGATCTTAAATAGAAGAAAAACTATTTGAAAGCATGTTTCCTTAATAGACCAAGCCTGCCACATTTTCTGAAGAGTCAACAGTCAAATCGGACAGTTGATTCCAGCTTGCTAAGCATATTTGTGACTTTCTAGTTATTCTCAAGGAAAGCCAAATGTGTGTTTTCCTCCTAGAAATGTCAGAGCCCCAGGAAAGATTTTGAGCAGGCCCACTCCTAATATTTGTGAGACTCAAAGCATGAGTGAAAAAAGGGAACCATATGTCTAAATTTAAAGAACACTATGAGGGAAACTACCAAACTGTAAATGAAAATGTGATCCATATTCCTTTCTTGAAAGCCACAATTTTGGCATTCGGTGCCCAGTGCCACTCACGTTAAGTTCCACCCTTATCTCCCTAAGAGCAGCTGCCTTTCGGCATCCCTAGGAAAACACACACTTGCAAGTTCTGCAGATACACATATCCACGAAGCACTTCCAAACCACTCCCGTGTTCTTGGGCCCCCTCTCTGTCACTGTGAATTGAATGGGAATAATGCTAACAATAGCTCACCGTATGATGCCAGGTGTATGCATGTACCTACAGGTGTCTGGCTTAATTTCATCTTGATGTCAGCATTGTTCTTTCTTGGAGCTGAGTGTGTCAGTAGAGCATGATACTAAAATTTATAGAATGTAGTGTCATAGTGTCTTACCTGTCTGCCGATACATGCATACAAATTGTCTTAGCTGCTGTGATTTTAAGAAGTATGCTTTCAAAGTTACCCTTTTCCCTCCCTGTTACACTTCAGGAAACGCTTGCCTTGAAGTAAAGCAAAGCAACATTCAGGAAACAAGAATCTAATTCAGCTGCCGCTCCCCCACCCCCCCCAAAGATGCAGCAAATTGGTGAATTATACACAGATTCTTTAGTCCCCACTAACTGGTCGGGGAGTAAGGAATTTGCCTTGCTTTCCCTAGGGTAAACTGAGGCCTATCTTTGCTGTTAACTGCTGGAAACATAACATTGCTGGAGGATGCCCGGCAGTCTTCGGAAGTTTAATAAGATTGCCTCGTAGCCAACGAATTTTTCTATTAGAGTTTGCAAAACAAGTTTTGCATCATTCCTACAGGATGAGAATGTAAAGTAGATGCTAGATGCTGTTTTTTCACTTGTTCTAAAACTGAAATACTTTAGAAAAATCAGTTGCATTCCTGTATACAGTGAACTAAAAGAGAAAGAAATCAAGAAAATAATCCCACTTACAGTCTCCTCAAAAAGAATTGAATACTGTGTGTTTAACAAAGGAGTGTTTCTTCGGTTTACAAAATCAACCCAAAGCAGGTTGAGTTGGGTTAATGTTGTCCCCAGACATACACATACAATATTAATTAGCTCCATAAAACGTTTTCCATTGCATGTGAGGTGAAAGGAAGGAGCGTGTCTAAGTCCCAGCTTTGAAGCTGCTGTGTTAATTGTTAACTTTTGCTGAGTCTGGACATTCAAAAAGGTAACAACCTCAGCATGTTAAGATCATAACTGTTAGATTCATGCTCTGAGGCATCAGCTGTGCTAATGTGAGGCCTTAATGGCTGCATGAGTTCAATCAGATAGCCCGCCTCCAGTGTGTTTGTGTGATGGTATTTACTAAATTTCAAGTGGACTGCTGAGGAAGATGAAATATAATCTCGTGTTATCTCTGTCTTGAAAAAAAAAAAGAGATAATGAAATTATTCTTGCTAGCATGTATTTTATTAACCTCTTTGGAGTCAACTTAAAGAACAAATGTCCCTATAGAGTTGAAACCTTTCCGTAATGTGGAGTGTCGTGACTAAGTACATTTGTGAGTTCTCAGGACAGTGGGGTTGAGCAGAGTAGGTGAGTATTTTTGTAAAAACTGCTCAGAATAGTATGGCATATTTTAGGATTCACTGGATAGAAAGAAATGTAAATTGTTTACAACTGAATTTTTTTTTTTTTTTTTGTCTTCCTTACAGAGCCTGGAGAAAGTTCTCGTAGAATTCAGTCACGAGGAGTTGTTTGATTTCTATAACAAGGTCTGTATTTTTAAAAGGATTTCTGATTTTTTTTAATGTTTCCTCATTTTGTGAATTCTTATTTTTAAATGCTGTATGATGGAGCTAAGTTTTTTGAGCTTCCCTTATAAACACCTTATGTCTTACAGTAGGAAGCATGGTTAGGATGCAGAAAATGTGACAAGTTCAATCAGGGAGAAACTGGAATTAGTTTTCACTGAAATACTACTATGTAGTTCCTGGCCACAAAGGCACTTTAACTACAAGTAATGTTAAATATTTTAATTTCTGAGCCCAAGAGAGAAGGGATGCCAGCCTTGAAAGATTTATCTTTGAGCATAATTCATTTCTTTCCAAATACTGATTTCATCATCTTGGAAAATATATTACCACCCTTTCCCTTTACAAGTTTTATGTGGTGATCATTTAAACTGAAACAGCTGGGTGTATTTAAGAAGTATTATTTAGAGATTCTCCTTTACAATTTGAAAACTTAAATTGCAAGCATGGCCTCTGATATCTTCACAGAACAAGAAAACTTTCCTAAGCAGTACTTACATGGCTGCGTGAGTGGATTTAGAATGCAGCTACCACTACTGTCCCCTCCCTTCCAGTAGCTGTTTCTAAACAAGTCCTTTTAGGAAGCTCTGTCCCTTCACCAACATTCTCTCTCTTTTTTCTTTGGAAACAGCTGGAGACTATTCAGGCACAGCTGGATTCCCTCACGTGAGGCTTTGGAAGACCCTGTCTCAAGCACACTCCTGGCACCTCGTTATTTGCATTGAAGATAGAATTCCAGGTTGTGTTTTCTGAAGGATTCAGTGGTTTTCTTCTTGTCAGTTTTGTGGATTATTGCTTCTTAGATAAATAACAGCCAAGAGAGACCATGGTTCTGAGTCCTGAGGTTCAAATATACATTCCCTAGTTCTGTGAGCCAGCAGGAAGCCATGACTGTCCGGTGAGTGCTGCTTTGCCTGACCTGATTATTTTCCGCATACCCCATGACACCTTCTATATCCAGTAGGAACCGTGGAAACAAGATAGAAAGTCTCCCTTAGAACACGGAACTTTTACTAACACATTAATAAAAATAAGAAAATAGTCACATGCCATCACATGCTTTATGGTATTTTTCCTTCAACGTTTCATTTGGGAAATGATAAAGGAAAGAAATTAAAAATAGTGCTGGTCCCCATGTTTATTGCTGCTTTATTTACAGTAGGAAAGACATGGAAACAGCCTAAATGCCCAAAAGTAGGTGACTGGATTAAAAAGATGTGGTACATGCACACAATGGAATATTACTCAGCAGTCAAAAAGATAAAACACATGCCTTTTGCAGCAACATGGATAGAGCTGCAAGGGATCATGCTCATTGAAATAAGCCAGAAAGAAAAGGAAAAATACTGGATGGTTTCGCTCATAGCAGGAGTATAAAGGACCAGGGGTGGAAATAATAATAATAATGAGCAACTATATACCAAAGACATTCTAGGGGGGTAGAGTAGGGAATGGGATCAAAAATGGGGGGGAGACTATGGTGATGGCACACGGGTGATTTGGTGATGGGAAGACCACGGGGATTACAACTGAGATGAAAAAGGGGACAAAATGATGTAAAAATAAATTACTATTAAAAAAATAATAATGCTGGTAGTCACAGACCTGCGCATTCCAGTGTGGGCTTCTCTGTGCACTTTCATTTTTCTTCCGAACGGAAAGAATTCCCAAAAAGCCAAGGTTTCCCAAAACCCTTTTTTTTTGTGCTGCAAATTAATAATGATTCTTTTCATTGTGTTGGAGACAGATTCAGATCATGAATAAAAATAATTATAATTTGTGCTCAAATGGGTATCCTTAAAATTGCAAAGCAGATTTCACATTCTCTGTCTGTAAATATGTTAATTAACTTCAGTCAATAAATCTTTGATATCTTAGGATGAGTTGAACTGAAGTGCACAGCATTTTATGGTATGAACATGTATACTAATTTGAGTGTGTTGCTTATATAAAATACTGCCAACTGAATGTTCTATGAGTGAAATTTCTTTCCTATATTACTTCTGAGAGAAGAGGTAGCAGCAGAGGGGAGAACATAGGAATAATAATCCAAATAGCAAAGGAATATCATGAAGATTAAACAAGATCATTCATGTTAAATATTTAGCATTATTCCCGACTTGGAATAATCACATAATGTGTGAGCTGTCATTTTCGTATTCACTAAGAAAATGACCGGGTTTTCCATTGAAATTGTTCCAATTCACATTTGGATTCAAGTCAAAATTGCAGGAAACGTGTTATGAAGCCCCTTCCCTTAGAGCGGCCTTGGCATTCCATGACAACTTCATCTTTTGATTGCTAGGTTCAAACATAATGCCAGCCTACTCATATTTTTTATTGCCAAAATAAGATAACAGCTATATGATGAGGTGGGACCAGAGTCAGAGAGTGTTTTTCTGTGACTTTCTACCTAGTTCTTCTCCCTTCAGAAACTTCTCTAGTTGCATTCAGTGAGTTTTGATCTTTTGCCTTGCAGTGTCTTTGACACTTTGCTCACTATATGAGGCCAGCAAGCAGCGGTCTGTGGGCCTGATCCTGCCACCAGGTTTTCTGCAGTTTCATTGGAGCACAGCTGTGGTGGACAGATATCCAATCATCCTCTACACCCATCATCAACCTGCTACTTGCTCCTGACCAGATGAATAGGACAAAGCAATGGAGTGTCATTCCTGTGCTGTGTTACTTTATGTCAAATTCTCTCATGCTTATAGTCTCTCCCTAGAGACTTTCTCCTTCTTGGTTCTGAAGAAACAAGCTGCTGTGTCAGGAAGGGCCTGCAAATGGGGGCCTGGGCCTCTGGTTGCTGAGGGTGACCACTAGCCAGCAAGAAACTCAGGCCCTCAGCTCACCACCGTTTCGCCACAGGAAATAAACTCTGCAAACATCCTGGGTGAGTTTTGAGGTAGATTCGATCCCAAACCAGCTTCCAGGATAGAACAGAGCCCAATGGACCGTGACTGCAGCCTTGCAAAAGAGCCAGACTGCCGACTTACGGAAATTGTGAGTTAGTAAATGTGTGACTGAACTTCCAGATTCGTAGTTACAGCCAACACAGCAGCCCTGCTCTTGGTAGTCATACAAACTGCGGTTGCTTTGTATCACCGTGGCAGCACTGAGCAGTGGCAACAGAGCACGTAAGTATCCATCAAGCCTAAAATACTTACTGCTGGCTCTTCACAGAAAAAGTTTGCAGGCTCATGCCGTTAGCACCCTTCCCAAACAGGAGTATGCTGAGAGGAGTCAGGCAGTCCCAGGGAATACATAATGCCAAAGATGAGTGTGGCATGCATTGGGTTGCTGGAAAAGTCATGAGGCATTTTGGCTTGAAAACCCAAAAAAAATACATCATGACTTTTCTGATGACCGATTGTTTCTCTATCATCACTCTTTCTCCCAGGTTGGGCTATCCAGCTAGAAATTCTGCTTTCCATTGTCTGCAGCTTAAGCAGCCATGTGACTGGTTTCACTGATGACAGTTTAGTGCAAGGGATTGTCATCTCCACTTTTCTTCCCTCTTTCTGTGACTAAAACTTACAATAGGAGATGAATCAACTTTGATCAGATGATGAGGATGGTGGCTGAAGGGGTAGCGAGCAAGAAGATGGAAGGAAGCTGGGTCCCTGAATGTCCTCCTGGATCCCTGAATGTCCTCCTGGATCCCTGAATGTCCTCCTGGAGCAGTGCTGCTGATAGGTCCTTGACAGGCTACTGGTGCGTGAGAAATAAAACTTGTTGGGGTAACTGCATTTGGAATCTTTTTAATGTAGCAGCTTAACCTAGAACCTAAGTGATAAATGATTCAATTAGTCAGTAATGTAGAGAATTATATTTTTAAAGAGAATGGAATATTTAATGGTGTCTAGTTCAAGATACCTATAAAATTTAAAGAGAAAGTGCAAAACATCAAAAAACCTTTTGCTGCAGCCTGCACCTTCCAGCTCAACTCTCAGGCATGCTGGGTGGATGGATATTCCCTCGCTTTCCCCAGTGTGACTACTTGGATGGGAAAGTTTGAAAAACCCATAGTTGTCTGCTGTAAATCTCCTCAAAAGTTTTAATACTAAGTAAGCCCATTTCTGTTGTGGGGGAAGCAAGCCAGGACAATTCTGAATTGTTAAGCTCTTTAGTAGCTGCTCAGGAATTAGAATTTCAGCTTTAGATGAATCAGGTTTGCTTCTCTATAACTTTGATTTTTGTCATCATTATGCGAATAGTTCTCAATAGACCACCCTCACTTAATGCTAAAATTAGTTAATTTCAGGCATTTTGTAGTAAAGCTTGATGGCATTTATAATTTGGGGGATTGAGAGGGTTTTATCACTGTGTCACCCCTGCAGACCTCTGCCACTGAGACACATACTTGAATCTTTTTAAAGTTCTTTTGCTCCTCCCAGAAGTGTGAGGTGGCGGCTGTCTGACAAGGCCTGGTCTTCAGTTCCAGGTGATAGCATTGTCAGAGTCTTTTCCTTGAAATAAAAAGTTCATTTTCATGTCAAAAGAAAAAGGTTTCAAAGACATGAAAGTTCAGCTTATAAGGTTCAGTTTATAAACCTGTAAGGAAGAAGATTCTGGAAACTTAGTCTCAAAGAAGGAAAAAATCATGACCATATAATAATGCTCCCCTCATCAAACCAGAGTCCAGTCCTTTTCAGTGTTGTTTAATGCACATTTAAGAATCTCATTTTATAAATAACTTCATTTTTTAAAAACGCCCTTTTAGGAATTGGGGGCGAAAAGTAACTAATAAAGTAAAAACTCAAAGTCATCAGGCAGCTATAGATCAGAGACATTCTGCAGGGGAAGAAGAGGGGGTGATGGTGCTCGGGTGACTCGGTGGCGGGAATTTCAGGGGAACCGTCTGTTATACAAACATTTAATGAATGTATTTTTTTAAAGAAAGATTAAAAAATCAGTAAATTTCAGTAAAAAAAAGAAAAAGCAGTTGATCACAAATTTAATAGTGACTTTTATTTGTGAAGTTGAGTTTTAGTTATTTACTCTTTAAAAATTATTTATGCATACAGAACTGGGGTACAGGCCAGGGGTGCAGGGGTGAGAAGATACACCAGAGACAGAGTGGGGAGCAGAACAGGTGGATCTACTGAAATACACTGCTGAGGGCAGCAGCAGGCAGAACAGGAGGTCCGCTGCGCCATGTGGGTCAGCTCCCTGAACGGGGATCGAACTGCACTGAAGTGGCTATGGCCAGCTCAGCCACTTTAACCCCCTGCACCACCAGGGAGGACCCAAAGTTGAGTTTTAAACACAATACATCGCACCTGAATTTTTCAGGGAGAACCCGGCGGTTACGTTTCTCTCATCTGTGATAGGTGTTGCTGTGCTGTGCGGCACGGAGCTTGGCATCTCCCTGACCTCCTTGCCCCTGTGACTGTTCGCCTTCCTCTGCACCCTGCATCTGCTCCACAGTTCAGTCTTCCTGCGGGTTCAGCCAGGCTACCTATGAACAAAGCAAAAAGCTATTCTCAGAGACAATGGGCAGCAGCCCATCAACCTTGGGCGCTCCTCTCCGCACGCCCCCTGCAGGCTGTGGTTCGCCATTGGCCACAGAACACAGTATTTTTCCACTTGAGCCAAGAGCGGGGTGACACACCTCCCAGGCTGTGGTCCACTTGCAGTCCAGTCCCAGACTGCTCTACATGCTGAAGTAAGTATCCTGTGAGGATCAGCGTGCTGAAGAAAGACTGGCTGAGTGAATCCATGGAGTGCACAAGTACTTTGTCCCCTCTGCTGTTCATTCGCACCATACCCTCTGATCTTTTCAAAACAAAACCACAAACCTCAGATTGACAAGAGTCTTCAAAGGGCTTTAGCCAAATATAGTGGTATTCCTGGTAGGGGGGTGCCCTCTCTCTCCTGGGGAGTCTCTGTTGCAATCACTGTGCTTTTGTCCAGCTAGAAGATTTGCATGAGGAGAAGACAAGCCCGGTAACCTGCTAGAGGCCCAGATTTCTCCCACCTCAGATGCTCAAGCAGTTTCACCCACTGTACTCCAGAGATTTACGATGGCAATGAGTTGGACCTGGACATGCTTCTGGTACGGATGCTGCAAAAACTGAAAAGTA